GTTCCCGAAAGGACTGGCTGGGTCTTTCACTTCCCAAACACAGCTGTTGTGGTGAATTTATTCTGCTTGGATTTTTAATAGCTTGGAAATTGTCTGCGTGAGACAGCCGGTACCCGTGTCAGGGACTTTTGCTGACCAAGGCACGGTCTTACAACACCAGCAGAAGGAAGGGGTGCTGTTACACTGGGAAACAGGGGAGAAGCAAACTCCAAGCAGACTTTGCGTTCAGCTTACCTTCAGAGGCAGGGATCACAGGATCACAGACTGGTAGGGGTTGGAAGGGACCTCTGTGGGTCACCCAGTCCAACCCCCCTTACCAAAGCAGGGTCACCCAGAGCAGGCTGCACAGGACCGCATCCAAGCGGGTCTGGAATATCTCCAGAGAAGGAGACTCCACAACCTCCCTGGGCAGCCTGGGCCAGGGCTCCGTCACCCTCAGACTCAGCCTTCTCTTCTCCAGGCTGAACAAGCCCAGCTCCCTCAGCCTCTCCTTGTAGGAGAGATGCTCCAGTCCCCTCCTCATCCTCGTAGCCCTCCGCTGGACTCTCTCCAGTAGGATGCTGGGGTGTACTTGGTGAAACCGCCCGACGGCTGCTGCTTGTGGGAGCTGGTGCTTGCGCTGGGATGCCGGAGCTGGGGCAGCCCCAGCTGGGAGCGAGGAGGGCTGTGGAGCATTCCCCACGCGGGGCGTATTGTTCCTCCAGAGACACTGCCTGACCTTTGGTGGGACCTGAATGGAGTGGCTGTGAAAAAGCGATTCCAAATAAATCAGGGGAAGGGATGCCAGGTGGCTGAGAGCACAGGGATCAGCCCCATGGCAGGTCCAGCCTTTAGCCTCAGCCATGCCCGCAATGGATTTGGGTGGTGCCCACAGTACAGATCCTAAATTCCTTAGAGAATTCAGAAAAACAGCCCCTTGTCTTTGTTTTTTCACTTGTCTAATGCAGAAGCAAACTCATGACTGTGGAGAACTGCGCAGGGACGCGTGTTGATGTGCCAGAAGGTGCAACGTTCGCCTCGATCTCTGGCACAGCGGCAGCGATGCTTTTGGGAGCCCACGTTTGCTGTGTGAAGGGCATGGAGGGGATGCATATGGATGTGCGAGAGCTGCAGCCCTTTCCTCCTCTCCTGTGAGCTTATATTCTTCACCCTTTTCCTTGCAGAGAGCAGTTAGATGTGGAAGGGGCCAGCACCAGCTCGTCCTTGCCGGAGAACGACCCTGCAAGAGGCACCAGCTCTTGCTCTGCAGCTATATCCGAGGGGTAGCATGCAAAAATAAAGGAGTCCCCGACGTCTGGAATGTGATTAGCGTCCCCTCCATTTTTGCACAGGATGGAACACATCAGGAAAAATCCTTCAGCTCTGGGGTGAGGAATAATTTGGGGCACTACAAGCGCCAAACAGCCTCCCCGTTGCTCCACCGGATCTACAAAGGTGGTTTTCCTTGCGGTCCAGCCATTGCTGGGCTTTTCACAGGAGCACGTTAACTAATTTCATGTAAATCTTCCACAGCTTGGAGGTATCTGCTGTGTTTGCAAAGTCCTTCTGTTGCTGCTGGCTTTGTGCCACCAGTTTGTGTCAGGGGTAGGCAAAGCACGAGGAGAGGTTTCCTTCAGCTTGATGGCGTGGCTGCTGGGAGAAGCCAGGAAAAACCTCCGTGAGTGATGAGATTTGGGTAAGTTTTCTTAAAGGTGCTCACCAGGGGGCTAGCTATTGAACTCGCACATCGGTGAAGCGTTGCAGGGTAAAAAAAAAAAAGACGTTCAATGGAGGAAAAAAGCACTAACGCAGGAAATCAACAGGGAGGAAGGAGACTGTCCTAACTTGTCCTGGATTAGCCTGGCCAGGTCTTTCCAGAGTCCACCGGGTTCACTGCAATAGTCAGAGAGAGCAAGTAACACAAAATCTTCCCTCCTCCCCACCAAGAGCAGCAATGATATTGCTATGGCTGGAAGAAAACGGGGTAGGAAGGAAAATGTGGGCTCGCAAGTGAGGAGTGGTGTTCCTCTGCGGTCGGTGCTGGGAGCGGTGTTGTTTAACATCTTTGCCGGCGACATGGACAGTAGGATCGCATGCACACTCAGCAAGTTTGCTGATAGCACCAAGCTGGTGCTGTTGCCACACTGGAGGGAAGGGATGCCATCCAGAGGGACCTGGACAGGCTTGAGAGGTGGGACCATGTGAACCTCATGAAGGTTAACAAGGCCAAGTGCAAGGTCCTGTACATGGGTTGGGGCAATCAGCCTGGACCACAAGTGGATTGAGAGCAGCCCTGAGGAGAAGGACTTGGGGGTGCTGGTTGATGAGAAGCTCAGCATGACCTGGCAATGTGCGCTGGCAGCCCAGCAGGCCAACCGTGCCCTGGGCTGCATCAAGAGCAGCGTGGGCACAGGGCGAGGGAGGGGATTCTGCCGCTCTGCCCTGCTCTGCTGAGACCCCCCGGGAGTCCTGCATCCAGCTCTGGAGCCCTCAGCACAGGACAGACCTGGAGCTGCTGGAACGGGGCCAGAGGAGGCCCCAGCAATGATCCGAGGGCTGGAACCCCTCTGCTGGGAGGAAAGGCTGGGAGAGCTGGGGCTGTTCAGCCTGGAGAAGGCTCCGGGGAGACCTCAGAGCAGCTGCCAGTGCCTGGAGGGGAGTTAGAAGAGAGCTGGAGAGGGACTTTTTACAAGGGCATGTGGTGATAGGACAAGGGGTAACAGTTTTGGCTAAAAGAGGGGAGATTCAGACTAAATATAAGGAAGAAATTTTTTAAGGTGAGGGTGGTGAGGCCCTGGCCCAGGTTGCCCAGAGAAGCTGTGGCTGCCCCCTCCCTGGCAGGGTCCAAGGCCAGGTTGGATGGAGCTCTGAGCAACCTGGTCTGGTGGAAGATGTCCCTGCCCATGGCAGGGGGGTTGGAACCAGATGATCTTTGAGGTCCCTTCTAACCCAAATCATTCTGTGCGTCTATGAAAAGTTAATGGGTTTGGTACTCCCCCCTGCTGAAGATGTCTTACAGCCATTGTGGGGAAGGGGCAGACAGAAAACCCCTGTACTCCTCCCCAGGCAGGGATCTTTATTTTGTAATACTCTGACAAAAAAAGAGAAGATCCCTTGAGCACCATTTGAAATCACGTTCTTAGTGCTAGGCTAAAGCTAGAAGTAAACCTGTAGTGTTGTACAATGAGCACCTCAGGAGCTACAATGCAAGAGTAGACGTAGAGTGACTTCGCTCTGTTCGTGAATGGAGGGAACAAGCCCACCTTGGCGACACAGCCTGGAGAGGGCATGGAAGGAGGGTGCTGGGGAAGGGCACCTACCCACCAGCACTTACCTGGGTGCCGCTCTGCCTGCATGTCCTCTTTCTGCTGGTCTCAGGGGCCTGCAGGAGAGAGATGAGGTGGCCACACGCTGTTGTTCTGGCCAGGCATGTCAAAGCTTGTGGCTGATCAATCACAAGACTTCACTGATTTTTAAAAAGCCCTTTATTTTTGTCTTAAGGCTTATAAAAACTGTTACTCGAAACCAAAATGTTTAAAACTTCACATATGTACAATACAAGAAATAAATTATATTTTAAGTCATACAAAAACCACAATATACAAACAGGGCTTTGGAACCACTCTAAGTATGGCACGGTGACAAGTCACAGATACTTAGCAAAGGCTTCAGTTATTAAAGCCTTAGCTTAAAACCATGGAAACAAAAAAAAAAAAAAAAAAAGAAAAATATACACAAATGTGCTTGCTTTGGTTGGATTGAAGCTCTACAAAAACTCTTGAGAATTGCAGGCCTCGGAAGGACTCACGAAGTCTTCAGCACTCAGTGCCCCATCTGGCAAGGCTGTTTTTTGAGGTTGCCTTTCTGCATGCCAAAAGTTCAAGAGCTGTTACGTGTTAAGTCTCCCTCCAAAAAAGGAAAAAAAAAAAAATCTAGTTCACCTCTGAGGAGGTCTGCTCTGCTGCAGCCAACAGGACAGCTGTAAAGAGTCTGTCGAGCTCGGAGCAAAGCCGACTTCACCAGGGAATCCAACCGGGACGTTGTGGCAATGAGGGTAGGATGTCGTTTGTTTGGCTCATTTAAATACTTCGGACAAAAACAAGGTCTTAATCACACACTGGTACGACAAGAGCACCTGAACAGAGGCGAACGCATTCTCAGTAGTTAGGAGGGCTGGTGCAGAGCTCTCCTGAAGCGGTACGGTTCGTTGCCTTCCTCCTCCCTGGCGGTCAGTAGAAGGGCAGGGGCTGTTTGACTCTTGCGGAGAGACGAGCGCACGGGAGAGGCCAGCCTCGCCGCAGACGTGGACTGCGGAGCAGGGAGTAGCTGCCAGACCCATCCCCTGCCGTCTGCACCGCGCTCTGCCCTAGGTTTGGGGAGGACGGAGTGCTACCTTCTTCTAAGGTAATATATAGAGATTTCGGCATCAGCCAGACATGGAACGGATCATTTTTAAGGCAAGCAAAGGACAACTTGAAGATAAGTGGCATTGTGCTTATTCCCACCCCTCCCCTGAACACCCTCACACAGCTGACATGTGCCGGTCTCCTCTTCCCACAGCCCATAGTGCTATCGAGCCCACAGTAACTCCTACGCTAGATGCTAATTTGTTCTTGGCAGCTCAGTCACAAACAAGCTGATGGGCAGTTAGCGTGGTTATCTTCTCAGCTCCCCTGGCAGGCAGACCAGAAGATCATTGCTGAGGTCTAGATCGGTGAAGATCTCATCCGTAGTCCCTGGTTAATGGGAGCAGGGAGGAAAGCAGCGTGCAACAGGTCAAGGTAAGGTTAAACGCACCAACCAGGCTCCTTAGGGAAGGGAGAATGTAGTTCTAGTTATTCTAAGTCTAGGACCACAGTCCATCAATGGCTCCTCGGTTTCTTGCATCTGACCCACAATGTTTTGTCCTGAAGAGCTAGTTGCTTCAAGTGCTACCAAGCCAGGTTTTTGCCAGGGCATCTTGCCACCTGTGTGGTCTTCACACATCTAGGTTGCTCAGTGGTGAGTCTTTAGAGAAATCTTCAGAGCAAATTGGAGACAGATCTGGGAAAAGCAGAGAGGAAGAAAAAAATCTAGTTAAACGGAGAAGTTAAGAGGAGTAATAAATAATTCCTAAGAAACTCTGGGACACTAGGAACAGGTTCAGACAGTACAGGTTGGTGTTTTATTCTGTCAAAGCAGTGCTTTGCCCTGTAGCTGCTCGATGAGAGCCTGAAGCAGACATTATGCACACAAGCAGGCTGCAGACAGAAATTGCAGCTCTCGACGCCAGACCCTACTCGTTGAGATCCAGTCAGGGTGGGCGGACGTTTGCAGACTCAGTCTCCGAGCAGGGAACCGTAATCTTCCAGTGACTCGGCAGCAATGGAGTGCTGAACGGCGAGGAATGGCTCATGATCTCCGGGAGGGGAAGACCGTTTCCTAGAAACCATCACGCGTCGGAGCTCAGATCTGCTCCTCTGCCTCTTGCAAAAGCTCCACTCCATGAGTAAGCAGGAAGGGCACATCTGCCAGCAATTGTGTTTTATGGGGGTTACTGAGCAGCAGATCAAAACAGCCTTTTATTGTACCTGCAGGAATAGTTACTTGGTCTTTCAAGACTTGTAGCAGAGCATCAAGTTTTTGCACAGGGCTTTCATCCACAGAGTTGTTTGCTACTGTACGTAGCACGGCTCGCCCGTTTCTGCCAAACCTGGAATGGTCCCAGTTCGTGCTTCTGAGCTGCCCAAGAAGGCTGTGCAAAGCGCGACTTCCACAGGGCTCTGCTAGCCCTAACAGGCGCTTTGTTCCCGGGTCAGAAGCGACAAAGCTCTAAGTTTACAAACTGGAATTTAAGAGAGGGCGAAAGGCTGGGCTCCATACGACAGAGACTATCATTTAGTCAGACGAACCGGGATTCATCCAAAACATAACCAGAGGCAGTCGGAAGCAATCCAGCTGTCGCTGCTGGGACCAGATTTACTGGAAGTCATGCTCTGAGGACTGATCCCAGGTGTCTGGGAAGTCCCCCAGAGGTTAAGCGGGGCTCAGATGCGCTGGCAATGCCCGAGCTTGCACTCTTCTGAACCAGAAGAGATTAGCATAGCCGGAGATGAAGCGGTCGGAGTCAGTACTGGAACACCATGGCAAGTCCTCTGCTGTGCCTGGCTTGTGCAGTTGAGCTCAGACTTTAATCAAGACATTTCTTGGCAGCTCAAGGTCTTCTACCAGGCTGAAACAATCTTTGAGGCAACTCACTGCACTCCCAGCTTTCCTGCCTTTACAGGGCAGTTAATAGATGCCTCTAATTAGCTCTCTGCTATTGCAAGGATCTTTGGGATTGGCAGCCCCTCAGTTTTTAGCATCTAACATGATAGCAAGCAGACAGGTTCTTGAGGCCCAGGGATCACGTTATGCCGATCTGGTAGCAAGCATGTAAAGGTACAAGGCGTCAAACCAAGCTCAGGAGTCAGGATAATATCACCTACTTCGTGATAGTTAAGGCACACGTGAAAATGAAGTCTAATAGCTGGGAATCTTGGGCTAGAATTTAGTAACGTCTTTTAAAAGAAAAAGAGGTTCCAGGAGTCTAAACAAAAAAACCTGGCTCCACTCATCCCATCCCAGCCACATGCATCAGACAGGATCTCTCTTAGCTGATTTTCCTTACCTTTTTCGCCATTCCTCTGTGCACTTCACAAACCAGAGCTCTTTACCAGGAGATATACTGGTTAGCTGGGAATCCTCCACACAGAAAGCAAACCTAGGAGTGGGAATCAGAAGTCAAGAGAAGGTACCTGTTGTCTCCACGATTCACAAATAACACATAATGTGGACTGCAGCTAATTCTAGGACAAGGTGTTTGCGTTGATATCCTTCCCCTGGAGCATCTTGATAGACCGTTCGCCTGTTGCAGGGCTGTTTTATTTCCTACTTTAATATTTTATTTGGGGATCTTTGCTTCTGCTACCCCTGTGTTAAATAGATAGTAAAAACTAGGATGCAGAATACCTTACGGGTGATAGGCGATGCTTCTTTAAAGCTCTGAGGAATGTGGGAAACTGTCAATATCAACTGCTGCTCTTCAACAGATCTGGGTTACCTTCAGAACAACATTAACACGAGATCTGGGAGCGCAGCACTACGCGCTTGGCAGCTTTCCTCCTTGTTGGTTTCTCAGGTAGCTTTCCAATTACAGAGATCTCAGAAGAAGCAATGTAGTGCTTAAGGAGTTGGTGTCACCATGTTACCGGTTGCAGTCTTAGGTCTGGCTTGTGCCAAATCAGCACATTATGCACATAAATAAGAGCCATGCCCATCTATGTTTCGGTATTTTTGGCACTGTCAGTACTTTAACCCTTCAGGTATTGATCTAAACCACCTTGAAGCAGGCTAATTTAGTCCCCAAGCGCAGGCAGACAGTGTCACAGTATCGAAATAAAGCAAAAGAACATCTCAGATCTGATCTGCGGTGACTAGTTTTGGTTAAAGCCCAGTGCAACCTCATGCTGGCAAGTATCCCGCTCTCCTACACCAGGACGGAGCATTAGCTGATAACACCAAAGATGAAGGACAGTTCAAGGTACCAGCTAAGTTCAAACCCCCAACTTTTCTTGCTAGATTCTGAATATTTCTCCTTTTGACTGCAGTTTCAAGCCAGCTCACGTGCAGCCTAACGCAATTATTACCTCTGTTGCGTTTCCCCAGATTTCACACGTATACGTCTGATATGCAGTTCCTGGGAAGACTTCGCAGGCCGGTACCAGTAGCTCTTCAGCTCTTTCCACAGATCGTACCATGACTGAGATGTTCCCTCCCAGGTGAGCTTGATTTTTAAAAGTTCACCCATGTCCTCTTCAGTATAGACCAGGAAGGTGTTAGTAGCATTTAAGCCAATTTGATCAAGCCTGAAAGACAAGCAGAGACTCAACATCTCTTCCTTATGGAAGCGTGCCAGCTGCTCATTCATTCCATGCCAGAAGTTAAACCGAGCCTTTCGCAGCTTACCAAGTGCTCCGCGTTCAACTGTCACCAGCTAATTGCTGATTACACTAAAGAAAGCGAGCCTGGATAGCTGGTTCAATACAATGCATCATTTACTCTGCTCATCCATCTTTCCATAGCTTAAAGGTGAACTTCATCCCTTGTGTTTCTTCTCAGAGAGGCTAAAGGAGGTCAACAAAGCCTCCAGAGAAATGGGTGCTTTCAGACTATATCCAAATGGTAGAGGCGAAAAGCAAAACAAAGGACGTCAACAATGAGCCGTGAAGGCTAACACGTAGAGGACTGGGCACATCAAATTGCTTTCTCAGCAATAAATTGTAATTAAGCTACTGGATGAAAAGTGTTTTTCATGGTGATGAAGTGAGGCTGCTAGGCTCAGGTGCAATGCCAGCGTTATCAGAGGAAAAAGAGTAATGCCACCTTGTCTAGTCCCAGTGGCCTTCTCAGCCTGGCGGGCACAGCAGGCCAGCTTACTTACATTTCTAAAGAGAGGGGTTCGGAGTCTCCGTTGGTGCCATGAAGGGTGACGGAGAAAGTGGGGTCAGCCTCTCCCAAGCTCTTGTAGCTGAAGACATGCATTTTCATCTGATAATGGTAGACTGGAGAGAAACAAGGAGAGCATAGATGGAACCAACTTTGTTGAGAGACAACATTGCTCAGCATCGCTCTTTGTGAAATACCGTTGGCAAAGGCCAGACCCTGTATTTATCACTTTTTCCCACCCCTACTCATTACAAAGTTGACATTCACACAACAGCAGCAGGCCCACTCTGGGGAGGGCTCCCTGAACCTTACACTGCTCTAAGCTTGGGGTGGTCTCACAAGTAAGACCTGTGTAAGCTGTAGTCCTGCTCAAAAGGCAGAGTGTTCTTATGGCCAGAGCCCTGCTGGTTTTACGCAGAGGAAGGAGCACAGAACAGAAATGCAGCCAAGCAACAGAGAAAGACTAATGCCTGGTGCTGTGCTGCTTGGAGACGATGCTGCTCTTCCACCTCTACATCTTTCCCAACGTAGACTTTGGGAGTCTGCTCTTAAAAAGAGCATAATCTTGTCTCTAAGAGGGAAAGCGTACCTTTGAACGGCATGTCAGCTCTTGTTTTTAAGTACATCTTGCTGTTTCGTTTGTTCCGTGTTTTCCTGGCGTTGTAGCCAATGCCGTTGCAGCGGTTCTTCCGGCAGCTCAGGCAGATGCCCTTCTTGAAGCGACTGGAATCGGTACATTGAAACGCAAAGCTTTGTTTGTCCTGGTTCACGAGGGAGTCCACAAAGAGGTGCACAGACCGCTCATGTTCACATTTAACAACTTCACCGATTGCTAGAGAAGCAGAGTTTCAAGGGATACATTTAGTTTAAGCATCTGTCAATCCAGCAGCTCATAAGATACAGTCAGCGATATCTTTTTGTAGCCCAACATGAGTTGAGCATGGCCAAACTTGAACATTTTTTGAACAGTAGCAATTCAAGAGGCTAGCACAAGACACTTGAAGAGGACTTGTCATTTAGTGTCTACCATGAAAAGAGATTTAAAGAGGATTCTAGACCTAGCATAAGAAGACGATATCTTATGATCAGGTGATAGAGCGAGAACGTGCTGCTTCAGAATTAAGAGCAGGTCCAGTTTCTAGCAACTGTCTCGAGTAGTACAGGCAGTTTAGAAGGAAAGAATAGTTTTCTCTGCTCTTTTAAGTCAGATCATCCCCCAGCATCAAACCAAGTCTATTTGTGAGGAGTCTACACTGACCAGAGGCAAAATAAGTAACGAGAACTTACTCCCATAGGCAATTGCTCCCAAGACATCGCTTAATCCGCAGCCAGGCTGGAAGTCTCCCCCGTTGGGGTAGATGTCAACGTGGCCTACAGGCATCTGGATCCCAATGCTAACGCCCAGCGTTTCCCTTGTGTAGGTGTGAAGGACATCCACAAAGTTAGCATCATCGGGGGAGAGGCGCTTGCTAGGGTCCACTCCTTCAAACATAGGGCCAGCTGGATCCAAGCCTGGTTTCAGAGACAGTAGGCAAGATGCCAGGGAAGAAATTGAGTTATTTCATACAGAATACAACCAGGAGCCCGCTGCTAGCAGCCCTGCTAACCAAGTGCTACACAGTCCCTACCCCGTTGCAGATACTGTCCCCCAAGATCTCTTCACCACGTGCTCACCGAGGGGACAAATGAAAATGTCCCGTACCACTTTTGGTGCAATACAACCCAGTAGTAGCACCAGTCTGCTCTACGGCCACGGTTTCAGGTTGCCTGCTGGAAGCAATGAGTCTTTGCTAGGTCACAGTGAAGAGATACTTCCAGAGGCAGCAGATGACTGAACACCATAGGAGGTCTAGCACCCCACGGAGACCACTGGTAGCCAAAGCTGCCTTGGCTGCGTTTAATCTATTTTCAGACTGGGCATATGGAGGGACTGAGACAAGTTTAAGCAGCAGCCAAGGTAATTCCTGCATCTGAGATCCCATGATGGGTTTGGGACATTCTGCTAACCTCTGAGCCTCACCCCCAGCCTGAAGCTGTGCTCCTGAGCCATTCCCCAGCTTGACTGGTAGGTGATATTTTCCTGCTTAACCAAATCTAGATATTTATCATCAGGCTCTGAGGAATTGTCACTGCCAGTGTCACATTTAAATGCTCAGTGCAACCCCTCGTACCGTGCCTTAAGGTCTCACATGCTGAAATCAGCATTCCTCGGGATTCAGAAGTGCTCTCTCCAAGATATTTTCAGAATGAAGGGGTTTGGTTTGGGGTTTTTTTTTTGACCAAACATCTCATGGTACCCAGTAGCCCTCACACCCATTAGTTTATGAGCTGTAATTACAGAAACAGTATCACTCAGGGGCTTAGGATTTGGATACTAACAGCTGGACTTGTTTTGAACCCACACTCAACTTCAAATACACTCAAGATCAAGTTGTCCTCTGAAAGGGTTTTCATTGAACCTCCCCAATGTTTGGGGTTCAAAATTAAGATACTTTCTCATGTCAAGAGACCCATACTCCCCACTGTCGCCGCAGGTAGGAAACTCGTCATCTCTGACTAAGCAAGCCCAAAACAACATTGCAGCAACACAGGAAACAAGCCTCTTCAGGGAAACTCGCTGCCGCTGAGGAAAGGTAAGAGACTGCTCAAGAAGCCACTTGCCTGTAATTCTGCCTATTGTCCCATGGACATGGTTACCAGCAAAGCCGGCGACGTGGGCGCCCAGGCTGTACCCAATCAGGTGAACGTTCTCCAGCTGGAAGAGAGGGTTCTCCTGCAAGGAAAAAAAAGATATGATCATTTGCCCTCCTGTCTTTCAGGACATCTGGCACCACTCCTGTCTGCAGGACTCTAGAGTCCAATTCTGAAATAGACTGGAAGGAGGGGGCAAACACGCATGCTTCATTCTTTATTTCGTCAAATGAAAGTTGAAGGGTTTGGGTGGCACTTGTGGCATGCCCCCACCTGCAGGACCCATCTTCCAACCCCAATTACAATGTTCTTCGTTTAAGCAGCATCAGGAGCAGCCTTCCCCCAGGGAGCTGCCAGCAGACGTCAGTACCGGCCGTGGACTCAAGTGCCACGTGTAGCACCATGGGCCTTTTCCTTCTCCTTTTCCACCCTCTTGAATGCCCAACTCCTGGGTTCACGTTGCTCAGACAGGAGGAAGGACTCCTAAATTTCAAGTCCACTTCAACTCCAAGCACCACCTCCCAGGAAAGCACCGCAGCACTTGCTCACCCGAAGGCTGAGCACAGCACCTTAGCCACAAGCGATCGCCCCACCGAGCCTCAGGGTTTGGATTACACCAGTGACTTCCCTGCTCGTGAGCACTGGAGCTGGTGACTGCTCCGTTCCCTTGTGCAATAGCTCCTCGTGGAGCGTTACAGCAGAGAACGTTCTCAACTCGCGTTACCTGTAACCAGTCAAGCAGCCTCGCGATGCTTTTTCCAACGATCCGCGTGTTGTTCACCGCATCGGTATAGAGCTGGTGGGCAAGCGAAAGCCAGTCCACCACGACCACGTTGGCATCCTTCTCCCTCTCCCGAAGAGCGGATACCAAGCTGCCCAGCCAGGTTTCGAACATGCCACTCATCTAGAAAGAGATTCAGGTGGTAGTTTCCAGCTCACAGGACCCAGATGACACATTCCCGGCTAAGTTATTTGTATATCATTTACCTATTCTGCTCCAGCTGTGTGCTGCTCCTCTGCGAGCCCCACTACTTCTCAGCACTGCACTAATGATGTGAGGAAAACAGGTTTTGAGAGACTCCGGCTGTAATTAGCCGCCTTGCCTTTTAAGGCAGGAGGGAGAGGCATGCGTTACACGCCACCTTATCGCTCTTTTTCTCACGAGTTTCAGAAATTCTGACGGATTGCAAAATTGTTTGCCAGCCCTGGCACCGCCGTTTGCATAAGCCTTGGTAGAGGTGATAAGTCCCTGAGTCCCGTGCGCTCAGCTGCATCCAGCGCAGAAGAAGAAAGCTGGATAAAGTCTGTCTGCCCTCTGTTTCTTTATCGAGGAGACCACGCAGCAGCAGGCAGGGCTGCGGACAGAGCTACGCTGACAGAAGGTCTGAGCATCTGTCGAGCCAAGTGCCACCTTCCTAGCGGTCAGCAAGTTGGATTTTAGGGAAAAATCTCAAGGTCCCTTTACCACATTCACGTTACATGGACATAAAATCATTTGGGTTGGAAAAGACCCTTAAGATCACCGAGTCTGTGGAGACGAAGCGATCTTGGGCAGCTGTGAACGAGTTGGGTGGTTTCACAGGGTGAAGCACAACCCACATCGCTTTGCTCCAGAGACCCCGGGTGCCGCTACAAAGCCACGGTCCGCCAGACGTGACAAGTCGTCCCAACTCCGCGCGTTCGAGAGACGCAGACCACCTCCAGGGCGCTTTGCTCTCTCCAAGCGG